TTGACCAGGGTATTGGTTTTTTTTTTTTTTTGCAGGGTATTGTTATTTGTCTGGTGCCAATCCCTGCTTATCTAGGGAGGATGTGTTCTTTTTAAGTCTCCATTCTTTGTATTTTTTAAAAAAAATGGAAGCAATAGTGATAAACCAGATTTACACACCATTCAATTTTGCCAAAATCTATGATTGCAAATAAACATATGTACAATACACACCATTCAAAAGAGACAATAAGAAAACAGGTAACTAATGATGTTATCTAGTTGGGTAATGAAAGAGGGTAGAGATGGGAGAAATAGCTAAACTGAATAGCCAAAAAGTAGATGCAGACAGGAACAAAAATTCAAGAGAGGAATATGGGAGGCAAGTAAAAAAAAAAAAAAGCAATTAAAGTATTGAAGTGGAGAAGAGACGATGGATAGATTTTTTTTTTTAATGTTATTGTTCTGGTTTGCTTTTCTTTTTCTCTCTCTCTTTCCTTTTTTTAGGCAAGTGACATGACTGGAAGTTAGGCAGGATAGAAAGAAAGAACGACATAGCTAAAAGGTAGAATAAGAGATAGAAATAAGAGAAAGGGGCAACGTTATTGTATAGATCTTTATATAATAAAATAAGAGCAATAACAAGAGAAAACGTGGAATAATTGAATAATGACAGATTGCAACAATATAATTATGTATTATTATTATTATTAGAGAGTATGCAAGTTCGATGAAAGAGATAAAATATTTAATTTCGCACATAACTACACCAGCAAGAATAGTGCTCACACAATTGGAAAACTGATACCATGCTGACAGACTGTTTGATAATCCAGAAGATTCTTGATTGTGCAGAAATGGATAAACTCACCTTGGAGTTAAGTGACAAGGAAGACTCAGAATATTATGCAGTTTGGGAAAAACTGGTATCAATGGATGAATAAGAGGAACATGAAATGTAGAGGTTAGAAACATAGATGTATGGATCTAGGAATAATTAGGAATGTATAAAAATGTGCATGAATAACAAATGGTTCCGTTAGTACTGTCAAAAAGGGAATGTGACTTATACGAAACTATTTTTTGAAAGGGTTTGCATTTTTTAATGTTTCAAATTCTCAAAAAAAGTTCTTTTTTTTTCCCCCAAAAAAGAAAAGAATGTAATAATCATGATTAATTTTGTTAAGTTTTATTTGTATTAGAAAATATGACACCTTGGTGCCACACTGTTCACGCATTGATATGTTTGTAAAATGAATGAATGAATGAATGAATAATGAAGGAAGGAAGGAAGGACGGACGGAAGGAAGGAAGGAAGGAAGGAAAGAAGGAAGGAAGGAAGAAAGAAAGAAAACAACCAAGGTCCCCCTCCTCCACCTTTCTTCCTTTTCCTGTCTACAAACCCCTTCTCCCCTTTAAGCATGGATGATGTTACCTAGTTGGGCTATGAAACGTCTGGCAGCAAACCACTTCTCAGCCTTAGCACAATCCCTCAAACCGAGGGACGCCGTGCGCTGCTCCCAACCACCTACCTTCTCGCTCCAGAGGACCTGGTTGTTGTGACCTTCTGAAAACAAGAAGTCCTGGAGGAGATGGAGAAGCTTCAGGGCGTTCTGTATGAGGCTGGGCAGCAGAGATGGGGTGGCCTCCTTCAGGTCCGTCAAGGCCGATTCCATCATCATCTCCAGAAGGCTGTGGAGGGGGTGTGGGGNCTTCCTTCCTTCCTTCCTTCCTTCTAGCACTGATGATGTTCTCTAGTTGGGTCATGAAATGCCTGCAAGGAAACCACCAAGCTCAGAGAGTACCACAAGGACTTCTCAAAACAACTTCCTTTTTCGCGCTCCTTGGACCAAGGGGTTTCCAAGTCCTACATACCTTCCTGCAGATGTCCAGCCTGACGGTCAGATCTGCCCGGTGGGAGAGGTAAATGACCGCCATCAAATCCTTGTAATTTGGGGAATCTGAGAACAAGAGAACAAAGACCAAAATGGCTTCTCACTTATGTCAAAACTAAGTTAAAGCACGAAACGCTTGATGCGTTATCATAAATGCAAAGAGCAGTTGGAATGACTACAATGGACTCAAAAATTCTCAAGTTGATGTTACCCTACCCATAACAGTCACGCTCAGGTAGTTTCTTGCAAATTCATCAATCCATAGGGGCAGATGCGAAGCAGCTGGTTCATAAAGTATCTAAGCTCTGGTTAACCAAACGCAAACCCACAGGGTTTAGTCTTTGATGAGTACAATATATCAGTGTTTTATTCCAGCCTCGACCACTTGAAGGTGGGTGGGCTTCAACTCCCAGAATTCCCCAGGTAGCATGAAGTCCACCCATCTTCAACGGCAAAGGTCGAGAAACACTAATTTACAGACCCTCTTAAAAATAAGCATGACTCACCGGGAAGTCAAACCTCACTGTCCAGAAGATCTCAAATGTTGAAATCAGGGGTAAAATTCAGCAAGTTCTCTGACAGGTTCTGGAGAACCAGTAGCGAAAATTTTGAGTAAATCAGAGAATACCACCTCTGGCTGGCCCCAGGAGTGGGAAGGGAATGGGGATTTTGCAGTATCCTTCCCCCCTGCCACGCCCATCAAACCACGCCCGCAGAACCAGTCGTAAAAGAAATTGAATTTCACCACTGGTTGAAGTGTTTGTAAAAGACCTTCTCCATTCTAAACCTTGTTAAAATTCTTGGGAGCCCTCCTTGGATTTGACTTCCCAGCTAGAGTTTTTTTTCACATTGCAGGGCTGGTTGGGGAATTCTGGGAATTGAAGTCCACCCATCTTCAAGTCGCCAAATTGAGAATCACTGCAAGACGATAAGCTACTGGTTCGGCTCCCAACCCATGCTTGGACCAGGAAGATGTTCGGTGTAGGCTAGCATATGGTGGGAACCTACACCAGTGACAGCTAACCTTTTTGGAGCTGAATGTCCAAAGCACACCTTTGCACCCTCAAAATGCAATGCGAGCGCACCCCGTGCATGCGCCCCCCCACACCCTGCTTTACCTTCCAGGTTGGGGCAGGAGGACTTCCAGGCCCAAAATGGGGTGCCGGGGGCACAAGCACGCAAACTCCTCTAATGCAATGCAAGCATCTCCCATGCATGCAACGTCCCTCCCGTGCGCGCATGCATGTCCCCTGGATGTGCCCTGCCTCCTACTCGTGCACGGCAGAGACCCGAAGACCAGCTGGTCAGTGGGAGGCACACACACGCCCGACTGAGCTGGCTGGGGCAACGGTTGGGGTGCCATAGGCACCCCATCACGGACCTACACAGTCCACTGGTGGGATTCAGTTTTTTTTTACTATCAGTTCTGTGGGCGTGGCTTGGGTGGGCGTGGCAGGAGAAGAATACTGCAAAATCCCCGTTCCCAACCGTACAATCTCCATTTCCACCCCATTCCAGCGGGGTGGGGGCCAGCCCAGTGGTGGGTTCCAGATCCCTTGCAACTGGTATAGTGCAATGGGGCCGGGCATCCACCACTTACCGCCCACAACACTCTGTGACGCTCCAGCTGCTCGGTGGAGTGTCGCGCAGGCGCCGTACGCTCCATGTGCGTGCATATAAGCTCCCATCAGCTCAAATACAGGTAAGAAGGACAGGCGGGCAGGAAGGTAGGCCCTCCGGAGCACCGTATTGGAATGGTACCTGGTGCTCCCAGGAGGCACCGGTATGCCCATACTGGGGTGTACCAGTATTTGCCGGTTCTCCAAACTACTCAAAATTTCCACTACCAGTTCACCGGAACCGGTCAGAACCGGCTATATTTCACCCCTGCTAGACAGATTTGGTTGAGTGTGTAGCTATCACACTTGTGTTGATGGATTTCTGCTGTAGGTGATCTCTACACACTTGAGAACATTTTCAGCTGTGGGCGTCAGATGTTTTTCCTTCTGGTTCAACTCTTCTCCAGAGACGCAAAGGGTCACCCATTCCGACGACCACTATCTTCTCAAAACAAGTTACTTAAAGTACTTTGTACTTCAGGAAAGTACAAAGAACGTGCAACTTTTCAACTATCTTCAGTTAGCTACTACTACAAACCAGGTCTAGAACTCAATCAAGGCCCTGCCCACTTTCTTTCTAGATCCATGCTCATCTGACACTGACCAGCAAGTTAGGAGAAAGCTATTCGGCTCCAAAACGTGGACCAAGAATGATCCTTGATGTTCATAATTAAGTGGGCAGGATGAGCAGCGGGACTACGATGAACAGTGGTGTTTTGATGGACATGGGACTTCTCATGTTGGATCCCCAGAAGCTCTACTGAAGTTTCCAGACACAGAAGCCATCAGAGAAACTAGGAGAAGCCCCCGGGGAGGTACCTGCTCCGAGGACTTGTTCCAGAAGGCACCGGAAGAACAGTACGGAAACCGGGATGTCGTTCAGGTACGAGATGAAGCCGTGGTAGCCGATGTCCTTCAACTTCAAACGATGCTTATATCGCTCATGGATCTTCTCGTACTTCAGCAACTTGTACAAGATCTGTGCAAAAACAAACAAAAATAACAACGTGGTTTGAGCCGAGGTGGCGCAGTGGTTAGGGTGCCGTACTGCAGGCCACTTCAGCTGACTGCTATCTGCAGTTCAGCGGTTCTAATCTCACCGGCTCAGGGTTGACTCAGCCTTCCATCCTTCCGAGGTGGGTAAAATGAGGACCCGGATTGTTGGTGGCAATATGCTGACTCTGTAAACCGCTTAGAGAGGGCTGAAAGCCCTATGAAGCGGTATATAAGTCTAACTGCTATTGCTATTGCTATTGAAACTGGAGGGCAACGTGGGATAATTGTTGTAATGCTCTCCACAAGATGAATCGCAACACCCTCAACTTAGTCCCCGACTTACAACCACAGTTGAGCCCCAAGTTTCTGTTGCTAAGCGAGACAGATGTGGAAGGAGCCTTGGCCCACTTTATGAGGTTTCTTGCCACAGTTGCTAAGTGAATCACTGTCGTTCTCAGGTTAATCACATGGTTGTTAAGTGAATCTGACTTCCCCGAATGACTTCGCTCGTCCTAAGGTCGCAAAAAGGGACCACGTGACCCTGGCCTTAAGTATGAACCCATTGCCAAGCGTCCGAATTTTGATCATGTGACCATGGGGTTGTAAGTGTGAAAAACGGTCATATGTTGCTTTTTTTTGTTGCCATTGTGACTTCGAACGGTCATAAGTGAATGGTTGTAAGTCGAGGACTTCCTCTCTTAGGAAGGAAGTCCAATGAGGCTATTTTTAGCAGTAGAGTTTGGAGATATTCCTGAAGATCAAGAGACTTCTTCACAACACAACTGGGACTGTGGGATTTTTTTTCAACCCTCTGCCTACGCAGGAGATCCACACACCACCACAACCTTGAAGTGTATGAGAGGTTTCAACTCTCCGTGGCCACCTGAGAAGATCCAGTTGGATCCAACCTCGTTCCCATCACTGTAGAAGAACCCCAAGGAGATATGCTGGAGCAGGGGATTGAACTAGAAGACCTCCAAGGTCCCTTATAACTCAGTCACTGTGTTATTCTGGTTCAGATCAGAAAAAAAATCACACCCTTCTGCACAACACAGCTGGTTTTATGGCTATCTCACACCCCTGAGCCTACCTGGGAACTCCACACACACAACCACAACCTTGAAATGTATGAGCGGCTTCAAGTCTCCGCCGATTGAGAAGATCCAGTGGACCGGACCTGTCTCCATCACTAGTAGCAGAGCCAAAAAGCTCATGGAGATGAGTTCCTACCTTGAAGATTCTCTCCCTGACTTCATCTGAGAACTTCCGTTGAGTGAGTAGGGAGAAGAAGACCTCCACGTTGCCTGGCTCAAACAGGAAAGCGAAGAGATGGTCCTGGTACGGGGAACTCTTCTGCAGGGTCTGGATCACTTCCAGTATCCCACACACCTGCGAGATTCACCAGAAGGTACAAGCTGCTGTTATATCAAGTCAAGGTGAACCTTCCTTCTGAACCTTTTGAGCTCAGAATCTCAAGGCAACAGTGTCTAGGTTTGTTTGGGGTGAAGCTCTTGGAAATATCATGTTAAACCTTGCTAGATGTTGCCCATGGTTTATCAGCTGATATTGGTTTGTGGTAGATCTGAAATCTGTAATTTGACCTCTCCTGAAAACCATCAGCCCAATTCAAGAATTCATACTTCAGGAAAATCCCTTCCACAGAGAACTTTCTAAATTATGGTTGACCTCCACTCCCAACATTCCTAGTCTTTGGCTCTGCAAGAGTGGAATTCTGGGGGATGAGGTGCAACACATCTGGAAGATGGCAGGTTGAATAAACAGGCTTACTTGTCTGAGAATGAGAGAGAGGGCCATCCATCCATCCACCCACCAATTCACCCCTCCATCTATCTACCCATCCATCTGCCCATCCGTCTATGCATCCACCCACCCATCCATTCACCCATTACCCATCCATGTTTCCACCCAGCAAGCCACTTGTCCATCCATCCATCCATCCATCCATCCATCCATCCATCCATTTACTCATCCATCTTTCCATCCACCCACCCACCCGTCTGTCTGTCCATCTATCCATTTACTCATCCATCTTTCCACCCACCCAACAATCAATTCACCCACTACCCACCCAACCATCCATCCCACTCATCTACTCATCCATCCGTCTGTCCATCCATCCATCCATCCATCCATCCATCCATTCATCTATTTACTCATCCATCTTTCCACCCATCCAACAATCAATTCACCCACTACCCGCCCAACCATCCATTCCACTCACCTACTCATCCATCCATCCATCCATCAATCCACCCATCTATCCATTCATCTATTTACTCATCCATCTTTCCACACATCCAACAATCAATTCACCCACTCACTCACCCANATGAGTTGTGTTTATTGCTTTTTTTTTAACTGCACAGTATTTAAGTGATTGTATAAAGGAAAATGAAAATGAAATAAAAGAGTTTTGAAGAGAATGGAAACGCAGATCAAATGTTGGAAACCTAGATGAGAACATCCCTCTATGGATGTGTTTATGGATGCTCACCTTCTGTAGCAAGGCTCCAATAATGGCCGGACCATGACATTGGACCAAACTCTCTTGATTGACTTGGTGACCACACAGGAAGTTCTTCACCAGTAGTAAAAAAGCAGCCACTCCATTCTTCTCCAGCCTGCCCTCTAAAATTGGAAAAAACCAACAATGGAAATCACCTTCACACCATCTCGTGCACCATCTAAAACAGATGGGTGGACTTCAACTCCCAGGATTCCCTTATCTGCATCGTCCCGCTCCCCCACAAATTGGCAGGTTTTTTTTTGTCACCTGAAGATTTCCCCAAGGGAATGTGTAAGCCTTGAGCGCTCCTTGAAGACGTCAACTCTGGCCCAACCAGATCGTTAATCTCCTGGATCTCTTTGCTTTCTTCCTTTTGAGACGCTACTTGATCCAGCAGAGGGAGGAGAGCTCCCATCCCGCCAACACAGTTGATGACATCCTATGCAGAACCCAAAGCAAAGCTGTCAGCTCCTCGTCATTAATTAATTAGGAAAGAAAGACCACGAGACTCCATGCGTGGAAATCAAGTGTACTTTTACTAATTAAGAATGATTAAAGGCATAGCATAGCGAAGTCTGGATATTTAGGCGCGAAAGCGATTGATATATAGAATAGCCCATTCCCCACCCCTTGGCATCACAGTCCCAGTCCAATCATAATTCTTGCAAGTGTCAGGTGTGAGATAACTTCAAAAGGCATCACGAAGATGGAACGTCAGTGCCGTTAGTCCTGGCGGGAATCTCCCGCGCATGCGTAGTCCGATCAGTCGGTGAAATCCAGAACCTTCCTCCAGCACAATGAGTAACCCCCCCCAAATACCATGCCCTCCCTCCCCGTTTCATGGCAGCCGAAGCGATAGCAATGCAGAGGCTGACAAAAGCTTTATGACTTGGGAACTATCACACGGTGGACCTCAGAAGACCCCCAAAAGGTCTTCTAAGTGAGCGGTGGTGGTAGCAGAACTTCCGTGGAGACCTGACTTGGTCCTACAGACAAGCTAACAGTCCCTGGGAGAGAAGCTGGGACAATTTCCACCCAAAAAGACGTGAGTATGGATTCCCACCTACCTTAACATCCCAGTTCACCACTTGATGCCCCGTCAACCTCCCGTCCAGGTTATGGTTTGGAGACAGGTCCAAACAGATGTTGCTTTTACAGGCCTAGAGAACCACCGAAGGAGAGGGGGGGAAAAAAAGGCAAAGACTAGCTCTGAGGATGGGCAAACTTGGTCCTGTCATCAGGCTAGGTCCTCCTTGCAGAAGAATCTGACCAAAGGGTGTGCAGAAATTTGGACTTGACCTTACCTGGGGCGTGTAGTACAAAAGTAATTTGCTACTGAGTTCCCCAAAGTCTCCCTCGGGCTTAAACGGTGATGCGATGTTTGGTCCTGTGGAAAGAAAAAGAGGAAGGAAGACTTGGTGCCCTCAAACTCAGAGTGCAATAGGAGCAGGTCCTCCTCAAAAGGACCATCGCTTGAAGTTCTGGGTGACCGTCCTCCATCAAGACATGTCCCGTCCTTATCTCCCGCTCTCCTCCTTACTCTTGTTCTGCCTTGCTTGGGCCACCAGTGTCCCCACCCCAAACGTCGGTCCAATCTGCCTATCCTTCAAGTCTCCTTGGGTGAAATGGACAACACACACGGTTCCTTCCAGGGCCCCTACCTGCCAAGAAGAAGGCCTTCACCTGAGCAGGCTGGAGTGCCTCGTAGAAGATAGCGACTGACCCCAAGTGGCCCTCCAAAGAGGTGGGCATCCCCCACTCGGTGTCCTGGGTCCCCGCAATCATGGTGGAAACTATGCTTTCCCGGGGTGGGATGGGGGTCCAGGTGTGAGAAGCCAGAGACGCTGGGAAGGACTGCGAGCGGTTCAGGAAAGGATGCGTCGGGAACTCCAGATCCGGCGAGTGAGATGGGGGCGAGTAGATGGTGGACGTGGTGGTGGTCCGATGGCCAGCAGAACCAATGCAGCAAGAGGTGAACGCCTGGCCAGGAAGAGGAGAAAATAGCAATAGCAGTAGACTTATATACCGCTTCATAGGGCTTTCAGCCCTCTCTAAGCGGTTTACAGAGTCAGCATATCGCCCCCAACAACAATNGAGAACCGGCAAATGCCACTTCTGGAGTATCCAAAATGGAGATTTTGCAGTATCCTTCCCTTGCTACACCCACCAAGCCACACCCACAGAACTGGTAGTAAAAAAATGTGAATTTCACCACTGGGTTAGTTGGTAGATCTTTGAAAAGGGGAATATGAGACCTATTTCACTCAATGGGTTTCAAATAATGGAGAAAGACTGGAAAATGTTATAGAAATAGATTAGATTTTTATGAAGAGAAGGAATGCAAATGAAGCCTCACCATGATGGTCACAATCGTGTGTGAAACTACAAAGGTTGTGACACTTATATAAAAAAGGGAAGGAGTTTTGATTAACTGGTTGGGGGGGCCACCATATTGAATTTTTGACAATGGACGATTTCTGTTTTTGGGAAACAGAAACAAATGGTGTATCACTACAAAGTCCTTGACTTACAACTGTTTCTTTTAGCAGCCGCTATGACGATTCTGAAAAAAGTAACTTATGACTGGTTCCTCGCACTTGTGACCGTTGCAGGGTCCCTGTGGTCACCTGATCGTGATTCGGGTGCTTGGCGACTAGCAGGTATTTATGATGGCTGCAGCATCATGGGTTCCCACGATCACCATTTGCAACCAGCTGGCTTTCAACAAGCCACGACACTGGGGAAGCCAGCAGAAGTCGCAAGTTGCAATTACATGATGTTTTGATTACTAACGGCAACGAAAGAATGTTGTGAAATTGGGCGCGGCCAAGGGAGGCCTTGCTTAATGACCGTGCCACCTAAAACGGATATTCGGGTCCCCATTATGGCCATAAATCAAGGACTACCTGTATTTAGTTCATCAGGGGTAGCCCCTAGCTGGATTTGGCTGAGTTTGGAAAGCTAAACAAGGAACACAACATTGTTAGCAAGGGACAGGAGACCACTTTTTAATTTTTTTTTATTTTTTTTAGCTTCTAATCTATTTGGTTTCAATATACTCCAGACTTTGCTTGATAAGGAACGATGTCGGGAATGGGATCTGGGAAGTCGGAAGGNTACTCATCCATCTTTCCACCCATCCAACAATCAATTCACCCACTCACCCACCCAACCATCCATCCCACTCACCTACTCATCCATCCGTCTGTCCATCCATCCATCCATCCATCCATCCATCCATCCATCCATCCATCCATCCATCCATCCATCCATCTACTTACTCATCCATCTTTCCACCCACCCACTCATCTTTCCACTCATCCATCCATCTGCCCGCCTGCCCACCCGCCTGCCCACCCACCGTCTATCCATCCATCCGTCCATTCATCTGTCTTTATTTCTCCAGCCCAGTTCTGCAAGTTCTCGGTTCAGTCCCCAACCCACCTGGTTCTCATCATTTACGGCTGCCAGATAGTTCATGGTGCTTTGCATCTCATCGCTGGAGATGTTCCTGCAGAAGAAGTCCTTGATCAGGGTGAAGAGGGACGTTTGCACTGTCCGGAGGTCATCGGTGGCAATGGGCTTCTCCTTGTAGGTTCTGAGGAGGAGGAGAAGCCGGAAAAGGGTTATAACGGAGGAAGGAGGAAAAGGAGCAAAGGGACCTGTTAGAGAAGAAGACACCTTGTCCACTCACCCATAATAGGTCCGGATGGCGTCTAGGATGTACTGTACTCCATATTTCTTCCGTATCCTTTGTTTGTGATCCTTAATTATGTTGGACAGATATTGGATGTGTCCTACCAAACCGAGAGAGGCAAGGTGAGAAAGAAGGTAGCCCATACCTGCCCATCCTATTCTCAAGGCAGGGGTCCTCCATATAGTGTCATGGGTTTTCACCTACATCTCGCTTGAGATATCATGGAAATGGGGCAACTTGACCAAAGAAAAGACGTCATTGACCCTTCAGAAGAATTTCAACCCATGGAAAGACTCTGTGATGCTCCACAGGTAAAGAAAAGGGTCTTCTCATTCTCTTGAAGGACCCAACTCCTCTCCAAGGATGATGGGTCTTTCCATCTAGACCATCTTGTCCTTACCCAGCCGGACGGCAAAGTCGCTGTTGGTCCAGATGCGGAAGTCAAAGAGGAGGGCTTGGTAGAGGAGATGAAGCAAGAGGTTGTGTCCTTCTGAGGCTACCGTCTCCATCAGAATCTGGGAGGCCATGAGGACGTTCATGTCCATCATCTGGCTGGGGACCTGCCGAATGTGGAAAGAAGATCTACATGAAGATTGTGTCCTCCATATCTGACCAGGAACCCTGTCCAAGAGCAAAGTTCCAGTGGCTTCTTCCCATCATCCGCCAAAATTCCTTCTGCTCTTCCAGACCCAACCCAGTGGGATTTCACACCAAGGAACTGATGCTCAGGATTACAACACCCATTATTCCCACTGAAGTTGAAGAGGAATTGGGGCCTCACACATCATTCTGGGAGAGGACCAGGTGTCCTGTTCGATCAGGAGTCAAGAGACCCTTCAACCTTCACAAAGGGGTTAGTTCAGGGGTGAAATCCAGCAGGTTCTGGAGAACCAGTAGCGGAAATTTTGAGTAGTTTGGAGAACCGGTAGTGGAAATTTTAATAGTTCAGAGAACCGGTAGCGGAAATTTTAAGTAGTTTGGAGAATGGGTAGCAGAAATTTTGAGTAGTTTGGAGAACCAGTAATGGAAATTTTGAGTAGTCGGGAGAACCGGTAGTGGAAATTTTGAATAGTTCAGAGAACCGGTAGCGGAAATTTTGAATAGTTCAGAGAACCG